CTCAGTGGGTTGCCACCCCACCGAGCCGTCTAGTGTTTTGGTTGATTGGCCCGCTCGTCCGCCTTGAGCTTGGGACAGACGGCGCGTGTGTGACCAGGCTTGGCGCAATAATCACACACTCGGCCGGAGGCGTTTGTGGACGCCTGCTTCGTTTCTCCAGAGGGACTTGCAGTAACAGGTGGCTTCGTATTGTTTCCTTGGCCACCATTGGCGCTTGCTGTTTTGGCCTCGTTCTTTCGGTTGTTGAAGCCTGGCGCTGCGGTTTTGGCCGGGCGGGAGTCAGCGTAGCGGTGAGTGAGCTCGATAACGTCCTGCAGCGTCTTCAGCACATGTTGAGAGATGAAGCTGCTGACGTCTTCTGGTAAGTGCTGTTGGTAGTACCAACGTTTGACGAATTCAGGAACGTCTTGGTCTAACTGCGAGAGTAAGTGCAGGAATCGCGTCGTGTACTCTTGCTGGGACCCTGTGCGTCGAAGCTGGCGCAACTTGGATAGCACCTTGTGCTCGAAGTCGCTGTTGCGAAACCTCTCACGAATTTTGGCCTTAAAAATGGCCCATGTTGCTGGCCGGTTTCCGAGCGACATCTTAAAGTCGCGGAACCAGGTTTTGGCTGTGGGGCCAAGGTTGGCAAATATCATGTCCACGAACACGGACGTGTTGCCGTCCATGTCCTATTGGCAATCGGCATAGTACTTCTCAGTACTGAAGATCCATAATTCTAGGTCATCAGTTGTTTGCCCGTTGAATGATGGAGGATTGCCCTTCTTCTTCTGCGAACGATGCATTAGCACCTGCTGCTGTAGCATTTGCTGCTGCGTCTGCATTTGCTGCGCGTGATTGCTGCTGCATGATTGCAGAATTAGTTTGTTTGCAATGAGCAGCGTCATTACTTCTATCCGTCAAGCCGCAGAGTGGGGCATGGACTGTGCTCTGAAGTGCTATAGACAACTATTATTACCTTACCCTTTGATCCTGTAAAGCGTGGTCAACGTCTAACCAAGATCT